TTATGGTGTTAAAATTCTTAACGAATATTTATTTCCTTTAATGCGAGAGGGTGGTCGAATAATCAATGTGTCGAGTAGAATCGGTCCCATTGTGCTGTACAAAGCCTCTCAAGCGCTTCAAGAAAGATATACATCATCGACATTGACAAAATATCAAATTGACCAGCTAGTCGAAGAGTTCATCTCAGCCATCGAGACAAACTCCCTTGAAAATATTGGATACAATGCGGAACCATCCTTTCTTATGTATGGTGTTAGTAAGGCAGCTTTAAACGCTCTTACGCNTTCTTATGTATGGTGTTAGTAAGGCAGCCTTAAATGCTCTTACGCAAGTGGAAGCATATGAATGGTCTAATAATAAAAATTTGCTTGTCGTCAGTGTTACTCCAGGATTTTGCGCTACCGATATGACTGAACATGCGCCTGATGCTCGTCCAGCTGAACTTGGTGCCGATTCGATTTTATATATGGTCAATGCACTTCGAAGTGAACTTAAAAACGGTGGATTCTATGCTGATGGCCAACAAATACCCTTAATCAGTGCACCCATAGTCTAGTAGGATATGTGAGTGTTAGTATCAATGTAGTTGTAATTCTCTTTTGCCACACCCACATAATCTATATGTTGGTTCATCATTAGTAACATAATGTGCGTATGTTTGTATAGCTCTCACATACAGATCTCTCCAATTGTTAATTTTATGGATCCTGGTTATTGCTGATTCGAAACGCTTTACAAATTTTTATTATGAGTTCTAATTAATTGTTTTTATTTATTAAAATTTTAGTTTCCCTATATGTTCAAAAAATTTAGTTGCAATATCCGTAAAGTCCAATACGTAATTGACCTTTTGGTATAATAAGTTTCCAGATTTCTAAATTATTTTCTTCAAGAGTTTTTCCAGTTTCCACGATAGTATCAGCTAATAAATATTTATCTGTATTGACGAGAAAGCCTTCAGATGATCCTGTGATTTTATCTAAATGGTATTTGTCATGCTTTATATTCATTTGTTCCAAAAATCGTGTTACATGATGAACATGTTCAGAAGCAATAAGCGGCTTGTTTTGAGCGGTCCATTTTTCTGGCTCTACACATGCACCTTTGCGACATACCAGGGCTAGAGAAAGTGATGGATCAACAATCTCATGAAGAACAGTATAGAATTTTGGATAATTTTTAATCACAGTTTCGAAAGTTATAACATGTGCCACACGTTTTGAAGCTAATAACCATGGCATATCTTGTGGTCTACTAATAAATAGTGATACTTTCATATTTTCATCATGAGAAAAATATTTGCAAAATTTATCTCGATCAACAATTTGTCCTTCCACTAACAGATTTCTTCCCGAATGTCGAGCGATTTTAATTCCCAACTGTTCTTCAGCGAATTCATCGGTTTTGTCGGGGTATTTAGAGGCACTTATGCCAATTACAATTTCATTCGATTTTTCATTAGATGATATTTTTGTATTTTCAACTAATAGTTTCGGTGCCCATCGTCGTGCATGCAATTCATTAAAAATATCTTCAATCGATATACCGCTTCCATTCAAATACATGACTAGATGAACCAATAAATCACTACATTCTGAAATTTGATTGTCTTGATGAGCCACTACCACTTCCCAAAATTCTTCCATTATTTTAGCAAGAGCTAATTGTGGATTTCTTTGAATTCTTCCTGAATAACTATCTTGGTTGATACGCGATTTAATGTGCTCCGCTAATGTAGCTAAATTTGCTTTAATACTTGTTGGCAAACTAAAACAACTATAATTACCTGAAAATAGAAGAAAACATGACAGCTATTAGACTTCTATATAATAAATATTAGAAAAGTATTTACCTGCATGACAAAATGATTTTTGTGAATCGACTATCATCAACATTGCATCCATATCACAATCTAAACTGATTCTAACAATATGCTGGATATCACCCGATGTTTCACCTTTCATCATTACTTTTCCAAATCTTCTCGAATATCGATATAATTGTCTTGTTTCGCATGTCTGTTCAATGGACTCTCGATTCATATAGCACAATCCTTTGACAAGTCCATTCAAATCTTGAATAATACTTGAGACGGTTCCGTTGCCGTCAAAATTGATCATACCATTGAATATGCTGCCGATTGTCAATTTTTTCTTCCAAATAGCAGATCCAAGTTGTGGAATGATCCGATTGAATGACCATAAATACTCTAAATCGTCCATTGTACTTATTCCACCAGCAATATAGATTTTCTCGATATTTTTTGGAATTTGTACAAGAAGATCTTGTATTTGTTTTCGAGGTATTCCCGATAAATGTCCTTCAGCATTAACAAATGTAATACTGATAACGTTAACACCCATCGCAATAAGCTGATTGACTTTCGTAATTATATTTACGTGAGTATTGGTTTTACGACCATGAATGAGTACTTCGTTGTTCTCATTAATACTCATTTCTACAATTAAACGATCCTTCGGTATTTTTGCAATCAATTCATCATCTGCACTAGCTACAGTACATCGACGAACATTTGATTTCAGCACATCTTCAACATCGCTCAATGATCGTAAACCACCTCCAGTATGAACAGGATATTTTAGTGCGAGTTTTTTTATTATCTCGCGATTTTTTGTGTCTGTTTCACCGAAAGCACCATTTAAATCAACAATTAATATGTCGGGGAAAATGCCAATGCTTTTTATTGCTTGCCAATAATTTCCATCACTGTGAATTTCACATACTTGTGAGCTTTTAACTAATACTGGTTGTCCATTATACATATCCATTGTCACAAGAACACGGCGTTGATTTTTACCACGTACATCTAACCATAATTCTCGTGAATTATGAGGAATTTTCAAAGTATGATTTTATTTTCTTATACTTTGATGATTAATTTATGAAATAAGAAAGAAGGATCAAATAGTAATTTCTCTCTTATTAAGAGTGATAAGATATTACTATATTCAATACAATTTCTAATTTTAAGATGAGTTCGTTAACATGTCAACACAAATGCAGAGAAATACTTGCTAGCAATTCGAGACTTGTTTGCAAAGAACATTTGTTCTCTGCTAGAAATAGAATGTTTGAGCTTCTTTTTATCTTTTGATTTACACTGCATGCATGAAAAGAAAGAAAAAAAGCTGTTTCATTAAAGATAAAAAGGATATGAAAATAATAATAATAATAAAAACTCGGTAAACACGAGCTCACTTTTAATTGAGGATATCTGTTTCAACTCAATAAAATTCGGATAGAAGAAAAAAGAACTATTTTGGCATTACATATATTCTGGTTGCCAGAGTATAGATAAATACAGAATAACTTACGAGATAGATTAAAGCTAGTACTCCTGAAAGTAACATGAAAATCTATCAACATCGATGGAACACAAAACGCGTAGAATATTCGAAAAGAAGGCTAAAAATACAGTTGAAAGAAACAAGGAAATGGAATGCGTACCATAACGTTATCGTAATCAGTGATTTCACTGTGTTGTATGCCATAGTCGTGCTAGCTTAACATTTTATTTTATTTTTAAAATTAAAATTATGGAACATTTTATTGATTTAAATAAAGTGTAAAATGTTTTTAAACAACATAACTAATACAAATTCAACTATGAGAACAACAATTTGATATTGTTAAAGTAAATGAATTTAGGCTGATGATGAACAAAGAAGTTTGTTCGAAATATTCCAACAAATGAAGAAAGATGAAAATAAGAAAAAACAATTAATTGAAAAAATATTGATATATTTTAACAATATCAAATTGTTATTCTTATAGTTGAATTTGCATTAGTTATGTACGTTGTTTAAAAAATGTTTACAATTTATTTTAAATCAATAAAATGTTCCATAAAAAGATTATTTGAAATCGAAAAATAATCGACCACATTTTGCAAAAAAGCGACTTCTCTTCAGCATTCTTTATCTCAAGAAATAAACAAGCATTGTTGCTGAAAACTTCGGGACAATAATAATACCATTAGAGCTATATACGAGCAAAGATTCAAATTAAAACTCCCTTGTTTCGATTTTTTTATGAGCTCCCAGGTCGAACATTACGACGACCTGATACGATCGTAAACGGCCGCATACGACACAAGTTGATCGACCTGGGAGACGGAGTATCTCATCTAAGGAATATTTTCTTTCCGGTGGCATAATTTGTCGGTAGATCGGTTAAAAGTTTCCGGATATGCCTCATCAGATGTTTTAATGCTATATTTAAGCGTATTGAATAACATAAACAAGGGGTCACTTTGCATTTAGGAATCAACAAAACTTGAAAAAAGAAAAGTGACATTTGAAAAATCACAAGTCGTGAAAGATCTATTGTTCCGTCTGACCGTCACTTGTAAATTATGTTTCGCTCTCGCTTATATGTCTAGTAGTAAACACAAATTCAATTTCTTTTAATCGAAATCATCAAGCAACTTTACGAATTAAACATGGTCATTAGGCAATGATACAAATACTAATATTTTTCCTATTTGAAGTAAGAGAACATTTCTAATTTATTCTCACTCAAAGAACTTCTCATGTTGAACAATATTCCAATGAAAAAGATCGACTTACGTTGAATGATATTCAATACATCTTGAATAGATTTTACTTGTTGTTCTTGTTGATCACATACTTGAACAAAACCGTTTTGATCTTCAAATACACGTAAACGTTTTTTATTATTAAGTAAATCAAAAACTTTGCCACAATAAATTTCATAAAATGTAATGAATATTTCAAGAGATGTACGATATTGTGGTTGTAATAAACGATGAAATATACCACGTGCTATTTGTGCATAAATACCATGTGAATAATCCGTCTTTGCTGATGATAAATCACCACCCATTGTAGATGTTTTACCTAAATGGAGATTGGAAAAAAAACATAACGAGAAATAAGTTCACCAATCAGATCCGGTTTGACCATATGCAAAGACAGTAGCATTACCACCATTAAACATTGTATCAATGAGAGGAGCAGCTATATAATGATAAACAAGTTCATTTGAGACTTTTTCATCGAATGTATAATCAAATCTAGAAGTTATGAAATGATTTAATCAAAATTATATTATAATGAAATTTTCTTACTTAAATGTTTGATTATCAAGATATGTAGTTAAATCAACTTTTGATTTTGGTACATGAACAAGACAATGATCTTTATTTGGAATTATAATAACATCATTATCTTTTTTTTAGCTAATTCACGTTTATTTAATGGTCGTTTTCGAACAGCGACACAAATACGTAAATCTTTTTGATTGGTTTCATGATGATGTAGATTTGAATTTGTTATTGGAGCATAAGTTAATGTTGAACGATAATCAAGAATCATTTGACCAAATGGACCATGTAAACGAGCAGATGTTGGTGGTGATGGTGGTTCGGGTACAACTGAAACAGCTGTATTATGTGTATTTATTGAAGACGAGAAAGACGACCTTCAGCTTTATTGTTTGCTGGATGGGGAATCTGTAATTGTGGTTGTGGTTGAGGTTGTTGCTCAACAATAGGTGTTGGCGGTGGAACAGGAGATGCAGAGCTTGTTTGATCAACAGCTGTATTATTCATTCCCGATGGTACATAGATTGCTTTTTGATGAGTTGCTGTAGTTGTAACACTACTGAATATTGAAAAGTTAAAGAAAACATAATAATAATAATAAAAATAATCATCATAACATTAAGTGATGGAAGGGGAAGTGGCGTTGAAGTTGTTTGAATCGATACCGGATGTTGTTGAACTTTTTGTAATAAGTGTGGTGGCAGTGCTGGTGATGGTCGTGAATTATAGTCAAGTTCTAATGTATCAATATATCTAAAGTAAGTCGACTTGATGATAGGCAATTGGCAAGAATAGGGACAGCTGCTATTGGTCGAGTTTGTTGATTGATAACTGATGCTGGTTGTTGAAATGTTGCATTTAGTCGTAATTCATTATTAAGTCCAAATACAAGATCAAGTAAAATTTCTTTTCCTTCAACTTCACCATGTTCATTCCATTCTACACCAACAAATTTTGATTCAGATGAAAGTTGTACTACTTTAGCTAAATATATTCGACCGTCAGATCGTTTTATTTTAATTGATGAAGAAGCTTGAATAAGGCCAAACAATGGATCTACTGCCGTGGAGACTGTTTTTTCTACTTTTACTCTAAAAGTATATCGATAGACGTTTCAATAAAATTCAATCTTATAAATATTCTTTTAAACCCAGGTTGTAGAGGTACGGTTGGAAACGGCCGGAAAGCCCGGGAAATCGCTGGAAAGTGGAAGCAGTATTCCGGCCGAAAATTACCGGATTTTTTCCTATGGATTCCGGTCAGTTTCCTGCACTTTCCGGCTGGAAGATGACCGGAATACACGGGGAAAAACCGTCAATTGCCGAACGGAATACTGCTTCCACTGTCCAGTGCTTTCTCGGGCTTTCCGGGCAGATACGGTGATTTTTTCGCATCTTTCCGGTCGGTTCCTACGGTATCCGTCCTCCGGAATCATTGACCTGGGAAGTAATTCTATTTTATGTCTTCTTCTATTAGAATATGGGGAGGAAAATAGAAGCCATTACAATAATTACAAAAACAGTAGTGGTTCCAGGTAGATAGATATACGTGCATTTGTTAGTGACAATGTCGAAGAAATTTTCATAGTTGAGTTCATTTTGGTCTCTTTCTGATCGAGTTGGTGACGTCATGTTTACATTTATGATTGCTTTGCTCGATAAGTCATGTCACATATATGACTAACGATCAATTGAAGGAAAAGAAGTAAATCGATGCATAGAAAACAGAGAGAGAAACGAAAAGGAAAAACAAACAAAAAACGAATGACGACAAATGCATTGTTTTGGAAGTGTTCAATGTTTTTCTGTTTCTTGTTCGCCTTTGCGAAGAAGTAGAATGCAATAGAAGAAACAGCAACTTGCCACTTGGTGTCAATCTAGATAATCTTTGTGCTCGTAAAAAGCTAGAAAGTATGATTTCATTTAACAAAGAAAGCTTGGACATTGAAGAGGAAAAGAAAGAGGATTGATCTTGGTCATGATACAGAAAAAACCAGATGAAATCGAACGTCGAAAACTTGAATAACATCGTGCGTCTTTCTTAAGCAAGATGTTTCTTTGAATCTAGAACGCAAGATATATACGTATGCGAAATCAACAAAGAGATAAAGAAGTCATTCAGCCGTCTTTTTCGTCTTTTTACAGTGTTATTGAATCGCGTTCGGCGTGTATATTTGAATTTTAACATCACGAAAACAAATCAAATAAAGTACATTTTGATTATTCATTCAATTTTTAGAGATTATTATTATCTTATATTCGATAGCTTTTTAGAATGTCTCGACGTCCTTCTATGCAACGTAATAATATGCAAAATGACGCTGCAACACAAACGTCTGTTGAAACAACAACAGTAAATGAGCCATCAGGAAATCCAAATATCGAGTAAGGAATATAAGGAGCATGAAAAAATAAAAATTTATAATCATAAGACATTATATTTCTCTTCATAAATAAATAAACTGACTCGGGAAACGTTGATACATATCGATCATTGTCAACTAAAATGATTGATTATAAAGAGAAATATCTTTACTAAATTTTTTTGAACGATAACAGCTGCGTATTTTTTGTTCATTCTAGAAACAAAAATGGTAGGTACGAAAAAGTGAAGAAAGTTCTGTTTAAAAAACCAAGAGATACTCATATCGGACTTGACAGATATTTGATAAAAAGAGAAAAATGTGAGAGTTGATCAATCGAATATCAAAATTACTTAGCATCTTGATTATTTTATTCTAAAAACTCAGAAAAATCGTATATAATAAATAAACAATCGAAGCTTCCTGAACTTCCTGGACTGTAATTTGAAAACTACTAATTGGAAACTGAAATTCTACGATTTTATTAAGCAATTTCGCTAATGGTCCGAAAAACTAACATTAAAGTATCAATAATTCACCATAGAAAAATACTTTATTGTTAAACGATCTATTCGAATAATTTAACTATTAAAAATATTCTGTGAAATATAAAAACTTCCTCCTGAAACTTTGAAATTGTCCGATAATAATAAATACAAATCTATATTACACGAACACAAAATTATCGATGGATTTTATTTAATTCATTTTACATTTTAATTAATCTATTGGAATTGATGAATGCATTGTTTGTGCTTTTGTCGTTGAAATATTTAAAGTATTAATTAAAAAATATATAACAATTAGATACTAATATATATATATACGTATATATATATATATATGAAACTTATTGGAATTGCTTTTAAATAATAATCAAAAAAAAATTATAGGTAAACTGTTGTAACCGGCATTGTTGTTCGAATGCTCAAATGATTTGTGAAATAGATAAATATTTTACACTAAAATCTTCATTGAAATATATTTTCATAAATTCTTTACAAATAAACAATCAATAAATAATGATAAATAGTTGCTTACGTATCATTGCCATTGAAATACAAAAACGATTAATTGATAAATAATTAACAACGAATTTTTAACTTAAATTTCTATTTTAATATAATTATTTTGAATACATATCACAGAACAGAAGAATCGCTGATTAAATCGTTCAAGTTGCTGTTGATATTAAAAGTTCTAAAAGGAAATATAAGTAATTTTTAAACTGTCGTTATTTTGTGAGAAGAATGTATTATCGAGTGTACATAGAAAAAACAGTGGTGCCAAAAATCATGAGCGCAAGAATGACATTAACTTGGGTTACCTGATTTGTTTTTGTTTTAGTTTCCAGTACCAATTTGGAGCGATCAAAAGTTGCCTTGATGGTTTTAATTGACTTTGTTGGCTTATGGGTTCTTATTTTGCACATCGATGATCTGAAAATGATACAAGATTATACAACCAAACCAACGGACACCAGAATACCACCATTTTTGCTTCTCAATACATTAGCAATGTTTGCAGGGGGTATTGGCTTTGGTAGACCTTATTTGCCAATAGCCGTATCTTTTTTCGGGCTTGCTTTTATAGTCTATGGAGGACGCATACTCCCTGGTTTAGTTCAATGGACAGAGAAGCTGCTTACCATATTTTCATTGTTAAGCCTTGTATGCGAATATTTATTTATGGGCATTCGACACTGGTTAAAAGCAAAAAAGAAAAAAGAAATATTTTTCTTGTTTTCCACCCTTTCAGTTTTTTTGATTATTTTTTTGTTTTATTGTTATTACTATTTTAATCGTGATTAGTCTTTGGCTGGTCGTTTTTTTAGTCAACAGATGTTCTTCAGGTTTTACTTTGTTAGACACACCATCATGTTGCGCTTTGCAATCATTTTAATAGGAAAGTCGAACCCAAGAAAATTTGGAACATGTTCACTTTTATCACACTACGGAATGCGAAGCAAAAAATTACTGGTCAAGCAAACAGTTAACAATTTTAGCTCAACTCATAGAACAGAAAAATCAGCATGACAATATATGGGTGCTATTGATGACAGCAGCGGTATTTTACACTCTGTTCATAAAAAACAAAATGTCATACTTACATTTGTTGAGGATGATTTACATTAATTTTTCATTGCATTCAAACGTCGAACTTCTAAAATTTTTGACAAGTAATGATGTATTTCATATTCTGGAATCTTTTTGCTCTTTGCTCACGACAATACAATATAAATGGGCCTTGTCTTTCAGATTTCTTTATAGAAAACACTGAAAAGAACACATATTTTATTAACAATATGTAAAATGATACATAATATACAAAACTAAAAACATAAACGAAGAAATAAGAGACATCAATATGCAATTACATTAGAAAAATATTATATATTTCACATAAATAGTTCTTGCTAAGATTGAACTCCATCATCAATTATGTCCTATCTTTGAACATTAAACATAAGTGTTGTTTCAGAAAGACAGATTACATTGATTGCCAGACATTACTTTGTAACCCACAAAACCAAATAATAAATAACCCGTGCCACAGAGGATAGAAGCAGTATAACTATAGTAAAAGTTGTTTCGATAAATGATACTTAATATACCGATAAAAACACAAAATGTAACGATCCATGACATATTGACAAGAAAATATACATGATCTCCACTTAATAAAATAAGTTCTCGAATAAGATAAAGCTGCAATACAAACAAAACCAACGGTAAGATGCGACTGATCTTAAGCTGTGTATAAGTGAGACAGTATTGTGTTGCTACGATCGAGCAGCGACAATCTTCGTAAGGTATACCGTAATATAAATTTGTTTCAACTGATGTTACATTTGGCATCATCAACAGGAAAACGGATTCTTGGGATCTGTCGAGAATATATGTATATTCGAGTTGCGACAAAACGAGAACAAATATGGCACAAGCATAGAAAGTAGCGCGCAATACGTTATTGGCGTTGATATCAAAATGAATTCGCATCTTGATATGCTGTTGTGAACAAGTTTATACAAAGAGTATTGAGTTACGACGGCATTACAACAAATCTACAATAAACTGTAAGGATGAAGAAATATAATAGCATAAATTGATCATCTGTCTGAACATATTTTTTATAAGGATTCGAACAAAAGTTAAGGATTTAGCATACGTATTGTGAGTCTCTTACAAAAACTTCGATATTAATTCAGTTCTTTAAGCTAAATGGTAAAGAAGTTGTCTCTAAAAAAATACTTATTTATTAAGAGTATTGTCATCATATGAAACTAAAATAAACTTGTGCAACGTTTCAAGAAAATACGAAAATATAAAATAAATAATTATGATTTTATTTGAGTGCCATTTTAATGCTTTGCTGTATCTCTGGCTCCGGGTTATTATTACATAACTTCATAGACGAATTTTTGCATTGAGATTAAAATGAAAATATACATCTACTCAGTTTCATCTGTTTTGGTAGACTAGAGGTAAATATTAAATGAGGCGGGCGTCGATAATTTTGTACTTTTATAAATATTGATAACAGCTGAATTACTCAATACTTCATTATCTGTTCTGTTCCGTGAATAGATTTTAATAAAGTTTCAAATAGTGAATTTTTTTAGAAAGTGTATCAATCACCCCAATAAATACGTCCCTGTTTCTTAAGTTAAATCATTGTCGAAATAAAGATGATTTTTAGTACGTGATTAGTGTGAAATCGTGGCCATGGAGTATGGCACAAAGAACACTTAGATCGATAAAAAATTCGATAGAAGTGTATTGATAGGAATAATTGCTAAGGCACGCTTTTAATTCATTGGCTATTAGTGATTCCTTGTAGCCTTTAAACGATGGTGAACGTCATTTGACATAAAATTTAACTATTGAATATTTAAGAAAACTGAAAATGACTATTCATTTTCATCAAACAGTACAAACGTGGCTAAATTTAATGAAATGAACATATCTTATCTCACTCATCCAAAGCTATGAAAGTATTTAAGGAAAAGAAAAGTATCTTATATAATTGTTGAGGAAACAAAACCGAATAATATACGAACATAGATACCGGATGAGCGGTGTTGTATACTCTACTGCTGAATCAGGGTTCTGAATGGAATTTCGAAACAAAATGTTTTCTTGTACTTTATTTAACTGTTTAAAATGTACAGGTACACTTAACTTTCGCAATCAAAGTGTACCAAAGTGTACAGATTGAACTTTGTCATATAATCAAGGAAAATAAACGAGTATTCATTTTCACATCTAA